AGAGATAGAGAGAGAGAGAGAGAGAGGGAGGAGAGGGATTGAGAGAAGAGAGGAGAGAGAGAGGAGAGAGGAACGATGAGGAGAGAGAGAGAGAGAGAGAGGAGGAGGAGAGAGAGACGAGGGATGGGAGAGAGAGAGGAGAGAGAGAGAAGAGCGGAGAGGAGAGGAGAGGCCGGACGGGAGAATTGAGAGGACGAGACAGAGGCAGAGGGGACAGAAGAGAAAGGACCCGGTACGGAGGCAGAGGAGAGAGAGGAGGAGACGAGAGAGAGAGACAGCGACAGACAGCAGACAGAGAGGAAGTGTGGAGGTACGAGCGAGAAATGGAGGAGAAAGGAGAGCGAAAATAAATGAGAGGAAAGAGGAGAGGAGGGAGAGAAGGAGGTGAGAGGCGGAGACAAGAGAGAGACCGAGAAGGAGGCAGGAACAGAAGTGAGAAGACGTTGAGTACGAGCAGAGAATTGAGAAAAAGAGAGAGAGAGAGAGAGAGAGAGAGAGAGAGAGAGAGAGAGAGAGAGAGAGAGAGAGAGAGAGAGAGAGAGAGAGAGAGAGAGAGAGAGAGACAGACAGAGAAGAGTTGAGTACGAGAGAAATTGAGAGAAAGAGAGAGAGAAAAATAGAGAGAGGGAGAGAGAGAGAGAGAGAGTGAGGAAAAGAACGAGCTACTATAGGTATTAGAAACCTACGTTACGTGCGTCACATTTATCTACACATTCTCACTGACCTTATCCAACATGGCGTCGGTCATGCGACGCAGCTTCGCAGCGCCACCTGAGATCAGCTCGGCGAAGACTGCGCGGTTCACCGACTGACTCCTCGTCGGGCGCGTGCGTGAAGCTCCCTCTATCGGTGGCGCTGCAGTCGCAGCTTTCTTCCCGCCGTAGATCTTGTTCAGGTTTTCGATGGATCTGTGCATCCGCCTTCGCAGACGATCAAGCATGGCTACCCTCCGCTCATCATCGCCGTTCCTCGGCGGCGGCGACGGCGACGATGACGACGAC